ATCTCATTTATGAGAGCTCCACCCCCATGACTTAATTACCTCCTAAAGGCCCCCATTTCCAAATACTTTAATATTGGGAATTTAGGGGTCAACATATGTATTTCAGAGGGATGCAAACATTCAATCCATAGCACATTGCTTAAAGACTTGTTGAAAGGGCAGCACAAAGATGTATGGCCAGGACAGAAGACTTATTCAAACTCTAAATTCTCCAGCAGCTGTGGCTGTGAAAATATGCAGCTTACATCTGTTCTGGGGAGCATGGTTGACTGCTAGGCCCTGCCTCTGACCTTCTGGCTCCCCTGCATTTGTAACAAGCGCATGCTCCCCATAGGCTCTTAGCCAATGATTACCCATGGCGTGAACACTAGTGGATGTCCATCTCTGCAAAATATAGAACTCCTCCTGCAGGAATTTTGGCTGAAGGACTCCTCATTTTCAAAACCTTCTTAGAACTGTGCTACAACCTGAGGTGCTTCTTATCCAGTCTTTCTTCTTTCCCTCTCTCCTTTAACCAAGGTTATGATCTGAGGGCCCTTCATGTCTATTCCTGCTCCCGCTTCATTATCCTTCCCAGGATTTTGCACCCAGTAAGTATGTCTTGCACATGATTCCGCCTTAGCATCTGTTTCTTAGGGGGCCTACATTGATAGAGGTGGACTAGAAGGGGCTGAGAAGAAGATGGTAAGATCGGACTCCATGTTTGGGTCCCCTTCCACGAACACTCTCGTGGAAGCCATCTTTCTCTTTCCTGGATTTCCCCTCTGGGGTCCCCTTCCACACTCTCTGGTGGAAGTCTGTCTTCTCCTCCTAAACTCCATCTCTATTCCCTTCCACTCAGTGTGGAAGCTGCTTTCCTCTCCTGGATCCCATCTTTCTGGATTCTCTCACTCAGCATGAGAGTTAGCTGTTTCTCTCTCTCTCCTCCTGTTTCTCTCTCTCTCTTTCCCTAAATGAATCACTTTCTACAAAAAAAAGAAGAAGAAGAAGAAGAAGAAGAAGATGGTAGGATCAGCTTTGAGAGTGGCTCACTAACTGCCCAGTAGGCTACAATAACTCCATCTTGAGTAACGTGGGGTTGTGGGTAGTGTTTGGCACAAGATAGTGGCCCATGTGTGGATTTCAGTGATGGCAACTTGGGAAAATGGCCCAGTGGAGGTCAATGCCATTTAAGTGGGATAGTTAAGGCACTTGAAAGATGGAGGGAGCAATGTCTGAAAGAACAGTGCAAGTGGGCTGGTTATTGCTGCATTGTGCAGATGCCCTGCATGGGAAAATGAGAAAGTGAGGTCATTAGTAAAACAGCTAAGGCTGAGTGAGAGTCAGAAGTCTCCTTGGTAGGTAACAGAGAGGTTCTTCTCTCCTGTAGTGGAGGAGTGTGGATAGCAGAGGAGCAAAAGAGATTTTCATGATCAGAGTTGCAGAGCCCCAGAGATGTTCAAATGCTTAGCCTAGGCAGGTCTGGGCCCTGGTTGGGGGAAAATTTGGAACCATGAAGCGTGAAATGGGACAACCTGATAGAATCCCTGAGGATACTGACTCTGCAGACCCTAAGAGCTTGCAGAGGTGGCTGACCCTTCCCTAGTCAAAGCTAACACTTCCCTCATGTGAGATGGCAGTGTGGAAGCCTCTAGCATAAGGAATAAACAGGTGCCTACTCAGGAGCTGCCCCATCTCCTCTTAGATATCTGCCAAGGTGATAACTCAGATTAAATCCCAGCACCACCCAGCTGGGGATGTGTTGGGCCTGTTAAGGGAGGGAAAAGATTGCATAATGTAGGAGCTAAAATAATTACCTAGCATGTACCAGCAGGAGCCAGGAGAGGACCCCTGGAATTGGATTTCTGAAGGTGCTTGATCAAAGTGACAGGAACAAACTTGGCTAAATAAACATTCACTGTCTTGGGGGCACTTTCTCGGGATTTGGGACTCTAGAAGATGGGGTAAACTCATGGCTAGGTGACTATTAGAAGCTGAAAGAAAGCCATGGTCCATGCAGAGTAAAGCAAGAATGTCTGAATTGCCCTTGCAAATGGTAGAGGAAGGACAGAAGGAGCTGAAGGAAGTGGACTTGCCTGAATTTATTGTGTAGAGCCAGAAGGCCAGGCAGAGAAGAATGCTGCACAGGAGGCCCAGAGGACGCCTCATATACTATGGCAATGGGGAACACACTGGCGAGAGGGCACTAGCATCACTAAGAAGTTCAGGGAAGGCTCTCCTCTGAAGGGGAGGGATGACGGTGAGAGGCGATCACAAGGCTGGGTTTGATAATATCTACTGGAATAATAGTATCCTAAAGTAGTAGAAGCCAGGTGGTGGCTTTAACCATGAGGAGCCCAGAGGATGTAATTTCTGTAACACCTGGCAAGGGCAGAGGAGCAGCCAAGGGGTGTGATCCACAGAAGTTGTGGAGGGCTTTAATGGCATAAGATCTCCCTGGGGGAAAAACAGATGGACAGCCAACAAGGGTGTTGCTTAATATCTACAACTGGAAGAAAAGAAGCCATTTACCCCATGCAGGGACTAATTGCTTAATAAAAAGCACTGCTCATTGCTCAAGTCTCAGAACCAAGCCTAACTTCACACTGAGACCACAGAATCTGTGACTTAAGAGGTTGTTGGGTCCCTAGAAAGAATCCTGCAATACTGAAACAAATATTTACTGTAATGATTATTCTTTGGTCTGTGTCCCATGCCCATTTTCTCAACTGATTATATGTTGAGGAAAGGGGAATACCCAGACATTTCACAGGTGTTACCCAGACACCCAATGTGTGTAACACACATGGCTCCTCTCTAAGTGTGGGGGCTTATAGGGATCAGGTAATAAGCAGAGGCCTAAATAATGTCCAGCTTACAGTGGGTCCAGGAATACATGGACCCATCCTGTAGTCATTTCCTTAGTTCCCGAGTGCATAATTGCAAGTACCTATCGGGCAACTGGAGCAATCTCCACATTGATAAGAAGCTCAAGATCCTTGGTCTTGAATTATCATGGCGGGGAGAGCCACCAGGAAGCTTCTGAAGCTGTTCTTGCCAAGTCAAGATAATAAATCAAAACGAACATTTCATCCGAGGGGATAGGGGATGACGATAGAGATTAATGCCATAATTAAAGACCTAAAGTATACAAGGGTGGTTGGTCATCCTTATCCTCTCTTTATTTAACTTGCCAGTCTGGCCCCTTTGGAAATCAGGCGGGCCCAGGAGAATGACATAACGGCTCTTTGCAGTCCAAAAGGAGCTGGATCACCTGGAAATTCGAGAACACACCCATCTATTACACCAATTGAGGGAATGTGTTCTCTTTCCCGGTCCACAAGGGGGCGTAGTTTTAAGGGCAAGGCGCCATGGCCCCTCCCATCTCTCTCCATCGGGAGATTTAACGGTTGATGTTTTAATTTTGTCAGGCTCGAGAAGGGGTCAAAAGTCAATCACTCCAGCTGCTTTCATTGGCCAGAGGTCTTAGAGAAGGTGGGGGTTCCTCCCAGGTTAAACGTCCCCTTCTCCCACACGCCTTCAGACTCCGTGTTTGGATCCCCTTCTACCCTGGTGGTAGCCATCTTTCTCTCCTGGATTTCCCGCCCCCCCACCCCACCCCACCCCACCCCAGTCCCCCTCCACACTCTCTCGTGGAAGCTGTCTTCCCGTTCTAAGCTCCATCTCTCTCTCAATTCCCTTCCACTCAGTGTGGAAGCTGCTTTCCTCTCCTGGATTCCATCTTTCTGGATTCTCTCGCTCAGTGTGAGAGGAGCTTTCCTTCTCTGGTTTCCCCCTCTGGGACCCCTTCTCACTCAGTGTGAGAGCGGCTTTTCTTTCTCTCACTCGGTGTGAGTTAGCTGTTTCTTTCTCTTTCTCCTACCTAAATAAATCACTTCCTACAAACACTTTTGAGTCCGGCGTTTACTTCTATCAGGGCACTGCTCCGTGGTCTCCTCTCCCATTCTGGGGAACGACACATCAAGAACCTGGAGAAACGTCCTCTCAGGGGAACTGAGGGCTCCCCTAAGCCCCTGAACCCCAACATTACACATTGACATCACGCTGATCAAGCAGGATGAGCAAGAGGTGGCTAGCATGCTGGAAACTTTGATAAGTCACGTGTACTCCAGAGGTTGGGAGATACATCCCATGAAGACTGAAGGACCTCCTACTTCAGTTTTTTTAGGGTTCCAGTGGTCAGGGGTTCCAGACTATCCCTTTCAAAATAAAAGGCAAATTATAAAATACATATAAAAGAAACAATAACTTACAAATCTTCCCAAAGAGATACTGTACTTAGAATTGTTCAGTGTTTATGTCCTTTGAGATGTTTTCATTGTGCATAGAGTATAAACATAATAAACTAATATAGGACCTCACTGCTCATCCATCACAATACAATCTTTTGCTTGTTTATTTGTACACTTTTTTTATTGCCTGCCTTTCCTCACTGTGATACAAATTTCACAAAAGTCAGGTCTGTCTTGTTTACTGCCACATCCCCGACACTTAAAATGTAGTTGATGCTCAATAAATATGTTTTGGTGAAATGAATCAAACATACTATACACATCATTTTGTAGCCAGCTACTTTCAACTAACTTCCAGACACTTAAGATTATACTTAATCTTTTTAAAAATGAGTCCCTCCAAAAATCATATGAAAGCACCGTTCCCACATTCCAAAGTATTTCTATGAACGCAGATTTAGAACCAGGAAGCCTTCGTCTTTTGGCAGCCTTTGGAGTCTCTCCCCTTTTGGCCAGTACTGCCGTAGAGTCTACAACGGACACAGCTTTGCATGGATCATTCTTTAGAGGACCCAACTCACCACGGACGGGGGTAAGTGGTCCCCATGCATGCAGCCCAGCCGAGGGCCACGTTCTCTCCTTCAGCCACACGGGGGCGCTAGAACGCCACAGTCCGCGCGGGGACCGGGGCCGCTGGGAGAAGACTCTGGGCGGCTGTATTGACTGCCGGGTGTAGGCGGAGCGAAGGGCGCCCAGACCGGTACGGAGGGCAGGAAGTGCGGGTGCGCGCCTGCGCATAGGTCGGGTCGGCGGTGTCCCCGCTTTCGCTTCTGCTAGAGTCAGTCCTCACGGTGACGCCTTTCCCCAGCTTTTCCGAGTAGGACCGTGTGGAGGGGAGGAGGCAAAGTGCGGGAGCGGGGAGGGGGGCGGAGCGTAGAGCGCCTGTGGGGGCGCCGCGGCGAGGAGTGGGGATGCGTGGGGAGGGGTACAGCAGGGGGCGTGGGTGGACGGCGAGGCTGCGTGGAGGGGCGGGACGCGGGGCCCCGGGGCGGGAGAGGGAGGGGATCTGTCCTGGGAGAGCCCGGTTCTCCCCTCGCCCGGCCAGCGGCACGCCGGGGATCGTGTGTGTCTGGCGCCGTGGCAGTACTTTCAGGGGCCGCCTACCCTCGCCCTCAGCCCGCCCTCCTCAGCGGCTCTGCTCTCAGAGCGGTGTTTCTCATCCGCGAGGATTCAGGCGCCGCACCCGGCACCCCAGCCAGAGGGGACCGCCTCCGCCCGGCTGGGGCCTCCGTCTCTTCCCCGCCCCGACCCCGACTCTCCAGGAGAAATTGAACACGTTTCCTGCCTCAACTCGGCTGTGCAAACCGGAACGTTCCCCGTCTAAGCAGTTCCGGGGAGTTTTAACAATTTCCTCGTCAACTCGTTTACAGAACCCACTGTATACTCTTTAAATATTGCCTGTGTGTGGAGCAACAGTTTTATTGTGCCCTGCAATCCTCAACAAGAAATTGTAGTCCAGGGAGATGAAAATCCCTTATTTGGCATTCAGGCGTTGATCAAGGTCATGCCACCTTCGCTAAAAGGATTTAGGTTCATCTCTGTCATTCTCAGCCAGGGTGAAGGGGAGTAGTCTGACATTTGGAAGCTTAAGAACCAAGTCTGCTGCCGACCAATTCTTTTTTAAAGCCTTCCATCATGTGTGTACTTTGCTTGAATGATTATTTTAAAGTACATGTCCTATTTTTGCCAATCCGACAGCTGTTTCCATAGAAACTGGAGAAGAAATAGTCATTTTCAGCAAGAGTTGTTAAAACTGTCTTCCAGGCTTCAGCTGTGAGTGCCAGTGAGTGCTGCACTTGCTCATTCTGAGATGGTACTTAAAGAATTAAAGATCTGAAATGTTCTTAGAGGCTAACAATCCAAATTGTTTAATTTTCTCACATCATTAATTTTGTAATCCTAGAAGTCTGCCAGCTATGTTTGTTGACCTGCCACAGCTCTTTGAAGAGAACGTGTCAGCCCTGATTTTTTTTTTCTTGTATGCTCTGTCGTCTAGTGATTGGCTTCGTGAAAATGCATGAAAAGATTTCTTCCTTCATTCTTTACCCTTTTTTAAGGATAAACGGGATTACAAACTATCAGGCACTGTTTCTAGTCAAAATGACACTTAGTTGTCAGTGATAGAAATGATAATGATTTTAATTATATACGGGTGGTGTTGAGGCTTTTGTTTATGCCTTCTGTGTCAGTGGGATTCTTTTTAAAAATTTTCACTCAAGTCATGAGAAATGAGAAGGAGTTTGCTTGTCATGAGCAGAGCTAAGGAGTGTAAATAGATGTGCATAGCCATAGGGTCCTTTTTCTGAGGACTGTAAGTAAATCAGGGGGTTTGGAATTTAGGAATGGGTGAAGGAGGCTTGGGGAAGGTGCTTCGAGGAGTATTAGGAGGGCCTGGTTTACCCTATGAAGGAGTTTATGGAAGCCATGGAAAACCAATGGAAGTGCAGGCGTGGTGGCTCATGACTGTGATCCCAGCACTTCACAATGCAATGCCATCATTTGATCCCAGGAGTTAAAAACCAGCCTGGGCAACATAGTGCCACACCGTGTCTACAGAAAAAATTTTAAAAGATTAGCAGGACTGGCTGGTTGCGGTAGCTGAGGCCTGTAATGCCAGCACTTTTAGGAGGCCAAGGTGGGCAGGCCACTTAAGACCAGGAGTTCAAGACCAGCCTAGGCAACGTGGTGAAACCCTGTCTCAACTAAAAATACAAAAATTAGCCAGGCATGGTGGTGCACGCCTGTAATCACAGCTACTCAGGAGGCTGAGGCACAAGAATCACTTGAATCCAAGAGGCGAGGTTGCATTTGCAGTGAGCCGAGAAGGCACCACTGTACTCCAGCCTGAGTGATGACAGAGTGAGACCCTGTCTCGAAAAGGAAGAAAATAAAAGGAAATTACAGAAATAGTTGCAACCGGGTGTGGTGGCTCACACCTGGAATCCCAGCGCTTTGGGAGGCTGAGGTGGGCGGATCACCTGAGGTTGGGGGTTCAAGACCACCCTGACCAGCATGGAGAAAACCCCATCTTTACTAAAAATACAAAATTAGCTGGGTGTGGTGGTGCATGCCTGTTATCCCAGCTACTCGGGAAGCTGAGGCAGTAGAATCGCTTGAACCCGAAGGCAGAGGAGAATCGCTTGAACCCGGAGGCAGAGGTTGCTGTGAGCTGAGATAGCTCCATTGCACTCCAGCCTGGGTAACAAGAGCGAAATTCCAACTCAAAAAAAAAAAAAAAAAAGAAAAAGTTGCCTGAGTGGTGGCTTAAAAAGTAATAATACATCCTGTGGAAGTTTGAACTGCACAGAAATATGTAAGGTGAAAATACTAATAATCCCTTTCAACCACCACCCTCCCATTCAAAACAGTTGTGAATAGTTGTATTTATTTTTGTATATACTAGCATATTTTATCATTACTATTTTTGCAAATTGTGGAGGGTTTTTAAAATCTATTTTATTCTCTGCAGTATCTCTAACATCCATAATGAGGCCTAGCATTTAGTGGGCACTCATTAAATATTTTTAGAATAAATGAATGGTAATACAGTTCAGATGTCAAAAACACAAAATCTGAATGTTTGGTCAAGGTTGTTAAAATTAAGTTTAAGTTCTTTGCCAGCATTTAAAAATTGATAAAAATCTGAAATTCTGGTTTTACTTGAAAGTTTTGAATCATTTGGTCACTGCAAGTTCAAATTCCATCATACCGGTTGTACCTCCTTTAGATGGGCATGAATCCACATTCACATCAGTATCACTTTGCTGATACTCACCTATACTGGACCCTACAAACCTGTGCTGTGCAGTACAGTAGACACTAGCCACATATGGCCATTGAACTTAGTTAAAAATTTTATTCCTCAGATGCGCTAGTCATTTCAAATGCTCAGTAGCCGCATGTAGGGACTACCTTATTGAACAGTGCAGCTGCGAACATTTCCATCATTGCAGAAAGGTCTTCTTTAGACATTTGAGTTTGCTACCTCTGCTATACGGAAGTTTTCAGGTAGCATTTATTATTATTTTTAAATTTGCATATCCCTTTGCCATAGATTGCTCTCTTTTAAATCTTCTAAAGATTTATAGACCACTATGTCATGTTTTAAAATTTTTTTATTTTAATTTTTTAATTTTTTTTTTTGAGATGGAGTCTTGCTGTGCTGCCCAGGCTGGAGTGCAGTGGCACGATCTCAGCTCACTGCATCCTCCACCTCCCGGGTTCAATTGATTCTCCTGCCTCAGCATCCAGAGTAGCTGGAATTACAGGCAAGTGTCACTGTGCCTGGCTAATTTTGTGTGTGTGTGTATTTTTAGTAGAGGCGGGATTTCACCATGTGGCCACACTGGCCTCGAACCCCTGACCTCATGATCCACCTGCTTCGGCCTCCTAAAGTGCTGGGATTACAGGCATGAGCCACCATGCCCGGCCCCATATCATCTTTTAAATGGTTACTTGGTATTTATCAGGGTAAGACTATGTAAATATTTGGGGTAGGATTCTGTATGTAAATTGTGGGGGTAGGTTTGCGTTTTAGAAAGAGTGCTTTAGGTCTAGTTTGGGGTCAAACTGGAGTAAGAGGGGTTGGTGGTGAAATAGACAGGGAGATAAGGTGTGTAGTGCAACAACATAAGACCACAAGCCCAGGAAGGGCTAGAATGAGATAAGGAGGTGGAATTGACATGACTGATTTAATGTGGGCCGAGATATTTTGGATGCTGAAGTTGCCGTAGAGATAATCCAGTATTTCTGGAACTGATTAAATGTTGAAAATTTGTAAATTTGGCTTTGCAGATTGTAGAAGGATCCCTCAGCTAGTTCTAGTAAACGACGTGTATAATATTAAAAAGCTATCGATTTACGAAAACAAATGTGTAGCTGTTTTATACCATGTAAATGTCTTAGAGATCATTTGCAGAATATAGAAACTCACTGAAGAAAGAGCATTAGTTTTGGGATAAAGTAAAAGCTCAAGAAGCTCAAATAAATTTAGGAAATACATTGATTTCATGGGAGTCAGGGAGGTTTTATTCTCTAATGCTCTCTTTGGCTTTGTAGTCTCTCACTTACCTTCTGTCTACACATACATACCATTGTCTTTTCTGTGGATCCACTTTTTTTTTTTTTTTTTTTTTTTTTTTTTTTTTTTGCTTACATATTGCTTTTTTTGGGCATAGCACCTGCTGTAGACCCAGCTTGCACATGCCCTTATGTTCCTGTGCAGAATACTGTTTTACGTAAAATCTTTTTAGTGTCAAATCCCAACTCCTAGCTCTGTAGCTTCTGGTAGGGGTTGTTGGGGATGAATGTGGTCATCTAGGCCCATCCCCTAAACTGAGGCTGTAAGATGCACATTTGAAAAAGGAGTTGTGCTTGGTCAAGTGTCTGAAGCTTATCTACTACAGTAAATCATCAGATTTGAGGGAAAGGAAAGGCTTGTGTTGTTTTTGCAGTTTGACTTCTAGAAGACTTTACATTTAAACCTTAATATACTTTCCCATTTAAAATGGTTCTTTCAATTTGTTTTTTGTCTTTCTGCATCTGCCAATAAATGGCATGAAAAATAATTGCTGCCTTCCTGAACTCTTCAGCTACTCATGGATATCTCTTTAAAAATGCATACAGTATGTAGTATTTAGTAACTGAATTTTATTATCCCCTAATAGTTTTACTTAGGTTCAGTTTTATAATCTCAACTAGATTATAACATCCATGAGGCCAGGACTATATTCTGTGCTGCGTAACTCTCATGCCATCTAGCCAATGAAAACCTTACTAGCTACTCCAGTATGCATTTTGAAATGATTTCTGGGCATAAAATTATTTTACCACTTTTCATGTTGGTTCAGAAAAGTAAAAACAAAGTAGCTTGTTTATAATGTCAAATTAATATATATCACCTTAGACTTTACTAATTTAAAATTGGTAGTATTTCAGAAAGGGTTAATTCAAAGTTAATGTTTAACTTAGCATGCCCTTTATTCACATTATACATTAACAATGCAAGGGCTGAATGTATAAATTACATAAAAAATAAATTTGAGTAATTTAAAAATAGTTTGATGTATAGGTAGTACTATTTATTAAAACTGGTAGTCCTGAAGCATCTTTCTAGATAATATTGTATGAGTTTAGGTTGAGTTTTACATATTTTTTCTATAACTTTTATATGAAGATTTTGAAACATGCAGAAAAAATTGAGGAAAAATTTAAGGAACATGTATATAACTATCACTTAGGTACAATGATTGCTGATATTCTATTTAGTGATTTTATGTCCCCATCCTCTGTGTGTGTGTGCACATTTGCTGTACAATTTGAAAGAGTTTTGTTTATCATAAATCCTTCACCACGTATCCCAGCAATAAATATTCACCGACATAATCACAATATTATTATCACCTAAGAAAATAAGTAATAATTACCTAAAACAACTTAAAAGTCAATTCATATTTAGATTCTCTCAATCTGTTATTTATTATTTATTTATTTATTTATTTTGAGACAAGTTCCCATTCTGCGGCCCAGGCCAGAGTGTAGTGGCACAGTTTTGGCTCATTGCAGTCTCCACCTCCTGGGTTCAAGCGCTTCTCCTGCCTCAGCCTCCTGAGTAGCTGGGATTGCAGGCAAGCGCCAATCTTTGGAATCTGCTCCACTGCCCCTTTTTTCCTCCCACTCCTCAAGCAGTCACTGATCTCTCTGTCACTCTGGATTAGTTTGCCTATTTTGCAGTTTATATTACAGAGATGGAATCAGAGGATATACCTTTTTGTGTTTTTCTTTCTTTTTTTTTTTTGAGACAGAGCCTTGCTCCGCCATTGCCCAGGCTGGAGTGCAGTGGCACGATCTCGGGTCACTGTGACCTCTGCCTCCCAGGTTCAAGTGACTCTCCTGCCTCAGCCTCCCGAGTAGCTGGGATTATAGGTGAGCACCACCACACCAGGCTAATTTTTGTATTTTTAGTAGGGACGGGGTTTCATCTTCTTGGTCAGGCTGGTCTCTAACTCCCGGCCTCACGTGATCCATCTGCCTCAGCCTCCCAAAGTGCTGGGATTACAGATGTGTGCCACTGTGACCAGCCTTTTTTGTGTTTTCCAATGAATTTATACAGTTCATCTAAGATGTCAAGTTTAAGATTTTATCGTTTATCGATTTTAAGAAATTGTGTGCCTTGCAGTTTTTTTTCTTTTGTGTAGGGTTTGTTAAACTTTGTGGGTTTGTAGTTTTCATCAAGTTTGGAAAATTTTTGGCCATTATTTCAAGTATTTTTTTTCTGTCAGCACTCCCGCTCCCCCCCCCACCTTTTTGGGGACTTCAGTTAGATGAATATTGGGCCACTTGAAGTTATTACGTATCTCATTGAGGCTCTGTGCCTTTTTTTTTCATTGTATTTTCTCTCTGCATTTCATTTTAGATGGTTTCTATTGATACGTCTTCAAGGTCACAAATCTTCATTTCTACAACATTAATCTGTTATTAGTTTCATCCAGTATGTTTTCCATCTTAGATCTTACAGTTTTCTTGTCTAAAAGTTTAGTGTAGGCGTTTTAAAGAAATGTATTACATATCTCTACATAACATGCTCATATTTTCCTTTAGCTTCTTAAACATGTGGAATATAGTTATAATAACTAACGTTCTTGTCTACTAATGCTGTTATTTGTTTATTTAGGAGTTAGTTTCCACTGATTGAAATTTCTTCTAATTATGGATCACATATATTGCTTCTTGCATGCTTGGTGATTTTTACTTGTAAATTGTACCTTGTTAAGTGCTAAATAGTTTTGTGTCCTGATACTGGTTCATTAATTTGTTGTTGTTGTTGTTTGTTTGTTTTTTTGTGAGATGCAGTTGCTGCTTGGAAGCATTTGACTTTTTGGGTGTTGCTTTTAATGTTTGTTCGGTGGGACCAGAGCAGCTTTTGGCCTAGGACTAATCTTTCTCTAATGTTGAGGCAATACCCTTCTGAGTACTCTACCCATGAGTGATAAGGTTTTCCACTCTGATGGGGGGGGATAGGCACTATATTGTGCCCTGTGTGAGCCCTGTATATCGTTCCCTCCAGTCTTTTCAGTTGGTCCTTTCCCAGCTCCAGGGGATTTTCTTACGCATATGCCCAGACAGGACTCAGCGGAATATGAGAAGGTAATTCTCTGCAGAGCTCTGGAGTTCTTTCTCAGTGCAGCTCGTCTTCTCTTGTCTTTTGTGCTGTGAGCTCTAGCAGCCTTGGTTTACTTGACCTCCCAGCTTTATCGTTTCGATTTAGGGAAACTGGGCTCCACCTAGGTTTACCCTATCTGCATTGTGACCTGGAAGCACTCTCCAGGCAATGAGCTAGGGCAATTGGTTGTCATAGTCTTTGTTTCCCATCTCTCAGGAATCCCTGTTCTTTACCACCTAATGTCCAGGGCATTTTGTAAGTCAGATTTTACTTTTCGGTTTCATGCTTCCCCCCAGTTACTGCAAACTGATAAAGTTTTACTGTTGTTTTTATCTAATCCATTTCTTATTGCTCGAATAATTTGCCATTAAAATAAAAATGGCCCTTTCCTAACTAAAAATTAAAAATGAAATGAAAAAAATTCAAGCCTCTAAAGTACACATTGCATAGTAAATGTAATGTTATGTATACTCTGGTTTATCTTGCTAGAAGGCGTTGCTGTAGGGGTGATGAGTTGAAACCCAAGGTAATTTAGCCAGAGATGTGTTAGAACAACTGACACACCTATTTGATAAGTGTTATATTCCCAGTTTGGTAAGTAAATATTTTCTGCAGATATTAACAGTTCATTTTTTGTGTTTCAGGTAATCAAGTAAAAAGTATGAGCTTCATCAGTGGATTGCAGTCTGCTGTTAGAAACCATGTTTTCTTCCGGTTTAATTCACGGGCTAACTGGAGAAAATGTAACACGTCAGCATCAACCTCACAGGGCTGTCACCAAGTACAAGTTAACCATATAGTAAATAAGTCTCAGGGACTGGGAGTAAATCAGTGTGATAGGTGGACTTTTCTACCTGGAAACTTTCATTTTTATAGGACTTTTAACAACAAAAAAACAGGATACCTCTCAAGTACCAAAAGTAAGGAAATTTGGATGAATGCCAGCAAATATACTGTATGGAAGGACTCTTTTTCAAGACAGCTATTAATAAAAAAAGTTACAGCGGTTCCTAGTCTGTTAGTATTGCATCCTCGAAGCCCTTCTCCTATAAGAGCTGTTAGGAATTTCCACACCTCTCCACGGTTTCAAGCTGCTCCGGTTCCTCTCTTGTTGATGATTCTTAAACCAGTGCAGAAGTTACTTGCAATCATTGTAGGCAGGTAAAATGCTTTTTTTAGAAAAATAAACTTTTGTATTAACTTTTTGCATTAATATTTTGTGTTATATTAACTTTTAGAAACTAAACTTTTTTATTTATAAAACTGGACTTTTAAAGAAACCTCATTAGATCCCCTCTCTCTCCCCCTTTAGCTCAAAACAAAGTTTCTAAACAATAGATCCTACTCAGTTTTGTTATGTATGATTTAATAACCTTGAAACAGGATTAGGACCTATTGTTGCATATTAATTTATGGTATAGAAATTTGATCTCTTTAAAAAGTTATTCTTACATATCGTATAGACATTTAGAAAATCTTATATTTATGATTGCAGAATCTTAAGATATATGGATCAGAAATGTTGGTTATAGCTCATATATAAGAAGAGTACTTACATTTTTTTTTTAATTTGTGCAATTTGAGGCAGTAAATCATAAAACTGAGGAACTTTGCTTATATAAGGATGGGCTCATTCCTAGTTAACTCTTAAATCATTAATGCTTCTCTTTTTTTTTCTGTTCCTAACACACCTTTGTTTTTTCTTGGTGGTCCTTTATAATAGTATTTTCACAGCTTGGTAGTACTTTAATCTTTTTTCTCATTTGTTTCATGGAGATTGAAGAAAGCTAATCACTGTTTCCTTAGAAAGCTTTCTTGTGTTTGATGACTGTGAAGCTCCTTCTAGCCTTCTTAATTTCCACATGAACCAAACCAGCTTGCTTTTGATCAAAAACCAATAACTTCTATTTGTAATTTATTGTGTTCTTCATGATTTGGTGTTGGCATCCGGAAGAGATACAGCTGTTTTGGCTCTTGGTTGAAGTAATACGCTCATCCCAGATTCTTGGGATGATTTCTGATATGTTCTCATTCTTTTAAATGATTTATTTTTTAACTTTTTGTTTTTGTTACTATTGTTAATCACCTAAAATTTTTCATTTAGAATGAAAAATGTCTTTCATACATTTTAAATAAATGATAATGTCACGTAAGGTTTTAAATAGGAAATAAGTACACTTGATAGTTTGTTGTATGTCCCTTTACATTGAAACACTTTGTGTAAAGAGGCATTGGGGTGTGTCACTTCACAAAATAGAGATAACTTTAAGAAGTTATTTTGTAAATTTCTGTCAAGAGAATGATGTATGAATTCTAAATTTTTGTTGTTATTTTATAGATCAACACACAAGAAAAAATTTAGCCTCAGTATTGAAAACATTGCTTGTTGTCAAAATGTATCTGAACACTGCTAAGCAGTAGAGAGTATTACTGCTTGATAGAAATTGGACCTTCTCAGATGTAATCTATAAAATCTCCTACTTTCTTATATAACGAGTACTTATGATCTTATTATTATCTTTCCTTTTTCATGTTCTAAAGAGGATAGTGGAGTTTCTGCTACTGAGCACTATTTATTTCCAAAATCAGTGCTGAGGTAGTTTCCCTTGTACCTTGAAGCACTGGCAGATTGTGTTGGAGGTCTGAGGAGAAGTGGGAAAAAATAGAATAGTGGTTTCAGGTATAGATTTATTGTACTGTAACCTCTTACATATTTATTTAGACAGTTATCCCTATTAAGTGGTTAAGTGGTCAGACTCTGGAATGTCATTGCCTTCATTGCTCGGTTTTCCTTCTATTACCTCTGTGGTCATGGACAAGTTACTTAACAGTTTTCTCTTCTGACACAGGGTTATTATGAAGATTAAATAAAATAGCATATATATATACATGCAAATACATCTAATACATGCAAAATACTCTACATATATACATATATAGAGAGTATATATATATGTATATATACACACATGTGTGTATAGATATATGTATGTACACAGACGTGTGTGTATATATATATATATACACACACGTACACACACATATATATATATCTATATATAATATAGATGTAAGGAACCAGCTCACATATATATGTGTATATATAGACACATACATACACATATATATGTATAGATACATACATATGTATTTTGCATGTATTAAATAGTAATGTTAACCAGTGGTAGTTATAGTAAACTAGCATCTCATTTAGTGTTTATCCTTAAAATAGCTGAGGAAGAAAATTTCGATGAGCCTTAGAATATTTAATTGTAAATTTACATAGTTAATTATTTTTCATCATTTAGCTAAGAACCTTGTTACTTGGAAAAGCCATGTGTTCAGCAAAATATATCACACAAATTCAAGTGTTTGAGGACATAAAATTCTAGTGTATGCATTTGAGCTTTAGTGATATGTGCTGGAATGATGATCAGAACTTTGAATTTTTCTTTTTGCTTTAGGGGCATAAGGAAATGGTGGCAGGCACTTCCCCCTAACAAGAAGGAACTATTTAAAGAAAGTATAAGGAAGAATAAATGGAAGCTAGTCCTTGGTTTGAGTAGTTTTGGATTGCTCTTTGTGGTGTTTTATTTTACTCATCTGGAAGTAAGTCCAATCACAGGAAGAAGCAAGCTGCTAATATTGGGGAAAGAGCAGTTCAGACTTTTATCAGAACTGGAATATGAAGCAGTAAGTAGTAAGAATTGTTTTTAATTAGACTGCTTAATATAACACTTAAAGTAGGAAAGTTTCTTAAATATGAAAGATACATTGCTTTTTAATTTTAGTATTTGATATGAAGTTAGCATTTTTTTTCCAAAAGGCCTCAGACCTTTCACACCTGGTATTACTGCTGCCTACATTGCTTTTCCTAGCATTCACCCAGCTAACTCCTGCTTAACACATCTCACCTTAAATGTCACTTTCTCAGGAAGGCCTTCCTTGATTATCCAGACTGGGTTACGCAGGGGAACTGGATGAGGCCCTAGGAGGTATCCTTCATACCGTCTGAATTATGAACCAGCTCATTTGTAATTGTGCCCATTGCTTGACCATACTAGGGTTAGGTCTCCTAGGCTTTTTTTCTCTGCGTGCTATACTTTTCCTTCAAAGTACTCATGAGAGTGACAATTATTTGCATAATTATTTATTTGATAGTCTGTTTCCCATATTAGATTAAGCTTCATGGGGGCAGGGATCTTACCTGTTTTGTTTATGGTTTTATTTTAATACACAGTGTGTAAGTATAGTGCTTAGTATATATGTATTGAATAAATAGATTTATAGTCAGAATTTTTTTACTTTGAAAATCAAGTAATATAAGACCGTTTTTTCTAAGCATCAGTTTTAGCAATTTATTATATTTTTTGAATCCAAACTGAAGTTGGAATTTAGAAGACTTACCTCTTTGGAAAGTATAATAATTTAGATAGTTAAACATTTTGTACCCTAGTGAGTTTCTTAGGGACAGAGGTCATCATTTTCTCTCCAGTTTATAGCACATATACATGTTATATGACCTGTCACTCAATATTTGTTGAATTCGTGTCCAGTAGCCTCACTCGACAGCTTTGGCATGGTTAAGTCTTTTTTTAAACCAGGCTGGACTGCAGTGGCAGGATCTTGGCTCACTGCAACCTCTGCCTTCAGGTTCAAGTTATTCTCCTGCCTCAGCCTCCTGAGTAGCTGGGACTACAGACACACACCACCATACCTGGCTAATTATTTTGTATTTTAGTAGAGATGGGGTTTCACCATGTTGGCTAGGCTGGTCTCGAACTCCTGACCTCAGGTAGTCCACTTGTCTTGGCCTCCCAAAATGCTGAGATTACAGGCGTGAGCCACCACACCCAGCACGTTTAAGTCTTTTTATTCCAAATCAACTTCTGAGTTTGTCAATGGAAAGCTACTATGAAAAAAGAAATAATGTTTTCTTAGTATAAAAATTTCTCTTAATCAAGGTAAGACCAATCTCATAGTAGACAATATACGGAGACTTGAGATGTTTCTTAGGATTTAGTCAGAGGCAAGTTTGAGGAAATTGTTCTGGAAAGATTGAGACAGGCCTAGTATTAGTGCATCTTTTACCACTCACATTCCTAATAAGACATTTAAAAAAATTCCGTATAGACATAGATACATTTGTCTTTTTTCTTATTTTAGCTACAATTATACTTGTGTGATAGGAAAATTTAAATACATGTTCTTATAGGGATATTATAAAGTGCTCTGATTACATATATTCTTGTTTTATTTACTTCAGGAGAGTTGATAATGGGGGTTTTTGTTTTAGGCAGTTCACATTGGTGAATTATGCTTTTTAAAAGTCTTTAAGATAAAGACTACTGGTAAGTTCATGTTCTATAATATAAAATAATATCTTTGTAATGCATCTCAAGGAGAAAAGTTACTAGCTTGTTGATTCTTTTTTTTTTTTTTGAAACAGAGTCTCACCTTGTCACCTAGGCTGGAGTGCAGTGGTGCTATCTCGGCTCGCTGCAGCCTCCGCCTCTCAATTGAAGCACCTATGCCTCAGTCTTCCAAGTAGCTGGGACTACAGGCATGCGCCACCATGCCTGGCTAATTTTTGTATTTTTAGCAGAGACAGGGTTTTATCATGTTGGCCGGGATGGTCTCAATCTGAACTCGTGATCCACCCGCCTCGGCCTCCCAAAGTGCTGGGATTACAGATATAAGCCACCGTGCCCATCCACTTGTTGATTCTTAAGTGAAAGAAAGTATACATTTTATGAAAGTTAAAGTAATATTTCAGAACATCTGTACTTATCTCAGTATGCTTGAAAGAGCTCTCATTAATATAACATCAGAAAAAGTATCTTCTATGGCGGCTAGTTTTAATCAGCATCATGTAGAGACAGTGATATGCTCATTAGTTCTGAGATTTCAGTAATTTCCTTTCAATTTGTGTGAATAAAACACCTTAAAATTAATGAAATATCTATTTTGGTAAAAGTTTAACTTTCTTTTTAAGTATAAAGTGTTTTTTTGTTCAATGCATTGTAAATGTAATTTTCTTGTGTGTTTTACTTAGATGAAATCTTAAGTTCTCTATGCAGTTTTTTTTTGTTTTTTTTTTTTTTTTTTTTTTTTGTTTTTTTTTTTTTTTTTTTTTTTTTTTTTGATATGGGGTCTTACCCTATCCCCCAGGTTAATGTTGGAGTGCAGTGGCGAGATCTCAGCTTACTGCAACTTCTGCCTCCCAGGATCTAGCAATCCTCCCACTTCAGCCTCCCACACAGCTGAACACAGGTGCATGCCACTATGCCTGGCTAATGTTTTGTGTTTTTGGTAGAGATGGAGTTTCACCATGTTGCCCAGGCTGGTCTTAAACTCCTGAGCTCAGGTGACCCTCCCGCCTTGGCCTCCCTTAGTGCTGGGATTACAGGTGTGAGCCATCTTGCCTGGCCTAGGCAGTGTTTTCTAAAATGTTTAGGAAAGTAGAAATAATACTTAAGTATTCATTTGAAGGTTAATCAAAAGAGCGAAATTTTGATGTCAATGTATTCAATCATAAAAAATATTAGTATTAGAATGTATTCCTTTGTGAGAACCCACATTGCCTTTGCATGAATAATTCAGATTTGAGAAATTTGAGTGCTTAATATATGCAGACTTTTATATAATTGAAAGTTACAGTGTTCAACAATAAGTAGCCATATAAGTTTCCGTGAAGCAGAGTAAACATTTTGTAGTGCTCTTTTGAAATAAGAAGTGATTTTTAATCTTTCAGTGGATGGAAGAATTTAAAAATCATATGCTGACTGAGAAAGATGCCCGATACCTGGCTGTTAAAGAAGTGCTTTGTCATCTAATTGAATCCAATAAAGATGTTCCAGGGATCTCTCAGATCAATTGGACTGTTCATGTGGTTGATTCCCCAGTTATTAATGCCTTTGTGCTTCCAGTAAGTAAATGTTCTCAAACTCATTGTAATTGTTAAATTTATTGTCCTTATTTTGTATTACCTTCTAATTGCTTATATTATTTTCTTTGTGGTGCAGAATGGACAAATGTTTGTTTTCACTGGATTTTTAAATAGTGTAACCGATATTCATCAACTTTCTTTCCTTCTGGGCCATGAAATAGCACATGCAGTACTTGGACATGCTGTAAGTACCTAAAATGAATGTTCAGGTTTGGAAAAACTGCTTTGAAGTTAACAAGTAAAGTCTTTTAAAGAATTGATTTTTTTTCATTTTTTTTTTTTAATGGTGGAATTTTAGTTTTGAGGAATTGCTTTAATCTGCTACTTCAAAAAATGTGTTTGACTAATTTTGAGAATTTTTATGGTCTTTAGTATTTGATACTGAATAATTAAATTTCTCTTAAATACTATTTTTATCACTGCTCTCTTTTGCTAAAAAGTAATTATTCTCAACCCCTAATTATTTCAAATTAAATTTTAAAATTTCTATAATTATTAATATACTTGTAATCTAGTCAGAAAATTAATTGTGGGGAAGTGATATTACTATTTAAATGGGTAAATCATCTTTTTTTATTCATTCTCAGAGGATAGCTTGGAGCATCGTTGAAAATGTCTAGAATGATGTGTCATGTATAATTAATGCAGAGTAATAATGATACCTTGCTGTTTTGCAGTTTACTCAGCTTTTTAGCATATGTAGCTTCTCATTCATAATTTTAATACCTAATGAGGTATGTATTTATTATTACTGTTTTATATAAGAGAAAACCAATGTTTAGAAAGATTCAGTAACATGACTAACCTGACAAAGTAACTGAATTGGGACTTTAACCTGGGTCTTCTGTATGTTAGTCCAGGGTTTCTTCCTTTCACCACAGCTCCCTGGTTTTTAGCAGCACTTTTCTTATAGATCATAGAATTCGAATTGGTGTATGCTCCTGTGAATAGATATCTGTTCATCTTGATATGAGTTAAAGAAAATAACACATCTGTTTCACACATTTTTAAATTGTTACTCATTTAAAAATGTGAATGGCTCTTTTGTCTACATTAGAGAGAAGTATTATTTTAATTGTAAACACAAAGGTAAAAAGTGAAATGACTGAAATGCTAAATCAGAAATACAAGTAACGTTAACAACTTCAAATGGAAATGATAATGATTCTAATCCTTCTAAAAGTCATCTCAAATTCTACCTATTCCTTAGAGTAGTAATAAGATGAGGTGTTTTTCTGAAGCATCAAGAGTAATTACCTCCTTTTTTTCTTGCAAAACATTTTTTCTTGACTATGTGTAGTAGCTTACACCTGTAATCCCAGCACTTTTGGAGGCTGAGGCAGGAGGATTGCTTGAGCCCAGGAGTTTGAGACTGGCCTGGGCAACATAGACTCTGTCTGTATAAAAAAAATTTAAAAATTAGTTGAGCGTGGTGGCTCATGCCTGTAGTTCCAGCTGCTCTGGAGCCTGAGGCAGGAGGATTGCTTGAGCCTGGGAGAGCAAGGCTACAGTGAGCCATGATTGCACCACTGCACTCCAGTCTGGGTGACAGAGTGAGACACTGTCTCAAAGAAAAAAAAAAAATCTTTTTTTCTTAAACAAATACACACTAAGCAGTAGAAATAGTGTTATTATATGCATTCTAATATCTTTCAAGTAATGGCTTCATAACTGCAAAATCAATCAGTTTTGTCCATTTTAGCATTGGAAAGGTGTTACCATTCAGTCCATTTGATTTTCAGGCATCTAGTTCAGTGCCTCCTATTCAGTGTATCGTCAGCTCTATCAGTGCGGAAACAATAGATGAGATGTAAAAAGCAAACAGCAGCCTTAAAATGGAAAATAGTTAATATGTTTTTGCAGAGATCTGAAATATTGTCAGCACTAGATTTTGTCTTTTGGGAGTCTCAATTTTTATTTTATCTAGGCTTTTAGGTTTTCTTCATTCTACAAATACAGGTTTTTTTGTGTGTATTTCTAGTTTTCTAAGACTGTATAATAGCAATTATATTCTTTATTAACAAGAGCTTTCTCTTCTATAACGACTTCCTTATTTTGAGTTTCACTTTCTCATGTTAAAATAATTTCATAATTGTTTTTCAAAACACACAGTTGTGTTTTGAGGCAAAGTAATGTGACACATATAATGAGGTAAAGTATGTTTTGTGAGGGCACAATATTTGTTAAGGGACAATATTCTAAGTCATTGTTTTTAGTTTTCAGGCATTTTTCATACATTCAAATAAGGATTGCTATTTTATCAGTTTCAGCTGATAATCGTTAACATTTACAACATTAACATTTACTCATCAACTTTAATGGCAAATCATGAACAATCCAGTTCATTAAACTTATATTTAGATATTACTACTCAAAACAACTATTTTACGAAAAATCTTTTTTGGTAACTGATATAAGTACATACAAAAATTCATAGAACCCGATTCTCTCAAGAGAAGTACTAGACTTAAAAATTACAAACTTGTATAAATGAATAATGTTTCATATATTAGGTCTTGAAGATCAGAATACCTTTATTTAAAATAAACTTCCAGTCTTTTTCTGAGTTTTTTCTTGTTGTGTTTCTTATGTTAGGTAGTGTTTAATCTTTATCCAAAAACATTAGTAAAATAAAACATGTATTTGATTTTTTTAAATGATGCAACTAAATTAAAAACTAAAACTTACTGGGTTTGATTTCTGGTTCTTTAGTAATAGCTGTGTGAATTTGGGCAACTCTTTTAACCGCTGTCTCAGTTTCATTATTATAAATATAGGGATAATTGTACCTATTTCACAAGGTTATTATGCTTGTTAATATAAGAAACTTCAGGGTAATATCTCACTAATAGTAAGTGGCTCAGTAGATACTAGTTAAATGAATGAATAGGTATGTAAGTAAACAAAGGAAGTGAAAAACAGACCAGGAAAGAATAAGCAAAAGAAGAAAAAGAGAACTCTCAATCTTAGGTGGAGGTCAGGTAATTGTAACACTTAATGAACTAGAAAATGTAAGCATATACTATCTTGATGTATGAAATGTAAATTTTATTATTTCCATTATTCTCAGGCAGAAAAGGCTGGCATGGTTCATTTATTGGATTTCCTAGGTATGATTTTCCTCACAATGATTTGGGCCATTTGTCCTCGGGATAGTTTGGCCCTTTTGGGCCAGTGGATACAGTCTAAATTGCAAGAGGTAAGCCTGAGACAACTTGAGTTTATCATAGTCTGTGGTGAGGATATTTTAATACTACCGTAAAGCAGCAAATCACCTTTTACTTTGAAATACGGGTACTAATTTTTGGTGTCTTATGTTTTCTCATTTTTGGGGGATATTCTTATGTATGAATATTTAAATTAAGGAATGCTGCATCTCTCAAATGATGGGCATGGATGAGTTAGAAGGGCTTGGAAACTTGTGGCTAATATAATTTTAAAAAATATATTTATTGGTTTTGCAGAGAGAAAACCCAGTCACTGACCCTTCCTTTCGTAGTAACTGAATGACTCCCCCTACCCCAAAATTCAGCCATCCCTTGGTATGCAGTACTTCTCATGGATACTAAAATCTGAGTATGCTCAAATCCTTGATAAAAAATGGCATGGCATGTGCATGTAACTATGCACATCCTCTCATATACTTTATCCCTAGATTACTTGTAATTCAATGTAAATGTTATGTAAATAGTTATTTTACTATATATATTTTTGTTTGTTTTTATTGTTTTTGTAAATATTTTCTATCCAAATTGGTTGAATCCACCAGATGCATAATCCACAGATACAGAGAACCAACTATATTTGCATTTTGATGGGGCACTATTAAAACCTTTGAACTTTAATGGGCACAGAATTGGCTAAAGCTGCTTTACCACCCTTCCTTCCTTACTCTGTTAAACTATCATTGCTTTGTAAATATTGAAAGGAAAGTCTTACTACGTGTTTGTTAACTTTTGTTTTTAGTGCTTATGTATAATAATCATCTCAAAAATTTATTAAGTGCCTCATTTTGTTCAAAACACTGTACTACTGAAAGTAGATTTGCCATCTTTATAACTACTTTGTTAACCATGATTATTTTATTTTATGTCTTTCTTTGAATATTTCCTCTTGTCCCCGGAGGTTTGATTGTTTATGAACAGTCTGCTATTTGTTTATTTAATGATTTGTGGAGCACCCATCAGAGTGCCATCTGGGTGCTGTTTAAATCTAATGTGCAAAATTCAGGGAGACAAACTGTTTTTGAGGTTGGATAACTTAGTCTGTTACTCACTATTGCCATATCATTTGGTTCATTTATATTGAAGTAAGGGTTCTTAAAGAGAAAACAAAAGAATGGCTATTGCATAGGTTATAGGACCTCATATTTTGAATTCTGTTTCTGTCACTGCCTGCCGGGAAATTAAAAGAATTAATGTAGTTATGTTCCCCATCTATCTATAGATTGCTTTTTCTGTAATGGAATCAGCAGAGTTGATCATAAGAAAGATAACATGTAGCTATTTCTTTCTTGAAATACTTGATAAATTTACCACTTCATTGTAATTCTTCAGTGAAAATAAAGTAGGAATGATTCTATTTGAATTTTTTTCCCTAAATCAAGTCCTCTCAATAATTTTGGTGACAAGTAGAGGTTTTTCTCTAGAAAGTTGCTCACTGTGATTGGAGAGCTAAGAGGAATGTTGATAGTGAAGTCATTTAGGAGTGGGAATTGCTGACACTCATTTGTCGTGAGGACTGAGTGATACATTTAAAGCAGGATTTCTCAATCTCAGCACCACTGACACTTTGGACTGGATAATTCTTTGTTGCAGGGGAGTTGTCCTGTGCACTGTAGGATGTTTAGTAGCATTTCTGACTCCCATCCCCTGGATGCCAATAGCTCTCCTTCCTCTCAGTTATGACAGTCATAAATATTTCCAAACACTTATAAATGTCCCTGGAGGACAAAATCACACTAAGTTTAGAATCATTTATATAAAGCACTTAGCATAGTACCTGGCACAAAGTAAGGACTCAATAAATATGAACTGTTATGTTTGCTTGGCACTGTTACTAGTTCCGTGTTACATAAGTTACTACTGGACTTAGTGGGGTTAAACAGTTAGCTCAGGGTTAACAATAAGTTAGCAGTATTTGGACTTGAACTTAAGTTTTTCTTCTTTTAAAGTCAAAGTTTTAAATCCATATGCTATCAATAGACTTGATGGGGGCACCTGCAGCCTGTCATGAAGAGTGAAAGCAGTATATGAGATACTTTATCGACCTAAAACAGACATGATTGAAAAGTAAGAAAGTCTTTCTAATGGTCACATACTGTATATCAGATTTATTATATTATTTCAGGCCATCACAGACATGTGGCTATCTTTGAAAGATTGCTTCCCCAATTAATAGCTCTTTTCTCAAAAGTCATCCCTATTGATTCATCTCCTACAAAGTTTTAGTACTTACTGAAAATTAGAATTTAACTGGAAAGCATTCATATAAATACAAGTAATTAGGAAAATTAAAGTTACTATATCTATGTGTGTTTTTTATTGAAGTCAGAAGAAAATTTCATTTTTCCAGCTAATCAATACTTAGAAAAGAAAAAGAAAATTAAGTTAATTTATCAAAGAAAGAGCATTCTGCTATATGGTTAATTTTTGTACTGAAATAAATTGTCTAGTAGTGTCATTGGTTATTACATACCTATATTTTCTTGATTTCATTTTTAAACTGCAAGGTCAAAATATTCCTTGACCATATTAAAAGCCTTCATCAATAAACTTTCTTAGTGAATCCTGTACTCAGTAGGTAGAGACTATAATTGGAAAAATAGAAGTAAATTACTTATACTACAGACTGTCTAGAAATTTATAGGCATGACTTCTATTCTTATCATGTTTTTAAAGTATTAATTTCTAATCAAGAAAATAAAGACTGTGTTTATATTTTATATCATGGAGTTATTTTAATGTTAATAGACAGAGTATAAGAACTTTATACTCCGTGAAACATTTTAAAAATACCTCTCCTTGTTACTCCCTTTGTAATCAAATAAATTGTCTTAATGGAGATTTTCTGTCCTGTTTCTTCTTAGTATATGTTTAATAGACCATACAGCAGAAAATTGGAGGCTGAAGCTGACAAAATTGGACTGTTGCTTGCTGCAAAGGTAAAGTGTTTAGTAGTTGAGAATACACAGTGCCCTTCATAGGCTAAAAGATAAATGTGTGTTATTTTAATGATGCTTGGCATGAGCAGAGAATAATAGTTGGACTGTATTAACCCTTTATGTAATTTCTGTTAATTTAGAAATTTGAAAGATTATGGACCTTGAAAGAATGTATAACTGAAGATACTGAATTCCCTTCTATATGTGAAGCTGTATTATGCCTTAGACAGAATCCATAAGATTGTAGTAATTTTTAGGTTCTATTAAAAGGAAGTTTTTTTTGATTGGAAATAATTTTTTGCATGTATACATTTTTTGATGATAGACATGAAACATATAAATTGAAAATTTAAAACATTTGGTTATGTAATGTGTTATCCGCTCTGGCCTTTTAACGTTTGTGCCCTCTGGAAAGCTAATGCTATATTTATTTTACTCGAATACTCCAATGTTTCACTTCTTGCTTCTCTGATCTAAGGAGGCTTTTTTTTTTTTTTTTTTTTTTGAGACAGCGTCTCACTCTGTCACCCAAGCTGGAGTGCAGTAGCGCGATCTCGGCTCACTGCAACCTACGCCCTAAGGAGGCTTTTTGAGTAAACAAGATGATAGGTGGTTTCCCCCCACTTGAAGATAGGTTAATCCTGTTGTAGCTATGATCTTGGCTAAGCAAACTTAGTTTCTGTCATTTAAATAAACAGTAGAAGAACCAGACATTTAGGTTATTTTTGTTGTGGCAGATGGCTTTTTTTTTGCTAGCCAAAGAGAGCACCTCTGGGCCTTTACTTTTATTTAAGTTGATTTTGCTCCCATCTACTGAACAGGACACCTGGCAGCTATTTTTAATCACCTGTGATAACTTGAGTATAGCGTTTAAGATACACTACATTTTAAAAAAGCAAAACTGCATTTTAAAAAATGAGTGAAAGCAATGCCACTTCCCATATTAAATTCAAATTTTATTTGATCCTTTGTTATGTTTCTGGTAGTTATTAAAACTATTAATCATTTTATTTGAATCTTTCATAAGTTTTATGGATTTAATTTCATAAATCAAGGTATTACTCCTTCACAAAAGCAAAAGCAGTTCTTTAAATGTTAAATAAGTATGGTTAAGGTAATTATCAGACTGCATACACTGAGAAATTCCCAAATAAGAGGGCCACAGAATGTCTGTATCAAGAATTTCCTAATTTTTTTTTTTTTTTTTTTTTTTTATGGAGTTTCCTTTTGTTACCCAGGCTGGAGTGCAATGGCACAATCTTGGATCACTGCAACCTCCGCCTCCTGGGTTCAAGCGATTCTCTTGTCTCAGCCTCCCAAGTAGCTGGGACTATAGGCATTAGCCCAGCCAGTTTTTGTATTTTTAGTGGAGACAGTGTTTCGCCATGTTGGCCAGGATGGTCTCAATCTCCTGACCTTGTGATCCGCCTGCCTCAGCCTCTCAAAGTGCTGGGATTACAGGTGCGAGCCACTGTGCCTGGCCAAATTTCCTAATTTTAATGTACTGTAGTCTGTCAAATTTTCCCTGTATGTTAAGTGTGTTCTGTGTTCTGGTTAGGAAATCTTTGTTTATCTCAGTAAGTTATTCCTGCTTTATTTCTAAGAAACTTTACTATTATTTTTTAAATGTATAATACGAAGAAGAGGGCATCATCTTTTTTTCCCCATATGGATAGCTAATAGATGCAGCACTGTTCATTGGAAAATGTCATCTTTTTTTCATTGGACTTCAGTGTCTCTTTGTCATAAAGGTGGAAGTATATGTGGGGTATTTTTCTAGATGCACTATTCTGTTCCATTGCCTATTGTTTATGTTTCGGCCAATACCATATTATCACTATAACCTGAAGCTTCTGTCCTCTAGTGTTCTGCAGAATTGATTTGACTATGTACCTTTGCATTTCTATATACATTTTAGGAACAGCTTGTTAAATTATACATACATAGAAAAACACATGATTTTTTGATTGGAATTACATTGCATTTCTACATTAATTTGGGGACACTTGACTAGTGCCTATAGTATTGATTCTTCCCATCCATGAATATGATATATCTTTCCATTTGTTTAGATGTTTAATTTTTCTCGATGTTTTGAAATTTTTTTTGTATGTAGGAATTACACATCTTTTGTTAGGTTTATTGCTAAGTGTTTGATATCATGATAAAGAGTGTCCTTTTTAAAGCAAACTGCTTTTAAAAAAATACAATTGCTTTTTATAACTGACCTTGTACCCAACAACCTTTATTTCTTCCTTTCCAATCTGTATACAGTTGACTCTTGAACAGCATGTTTTTGAGCTGTGTAGATCCACTTATACACAGGATTTTTTTCAGTAAATACATTGGAAAGTTTTTTGGAAATTTGCAACAATTTGAAAAAACAGATGAACCACGTAGCCTAGAAATATTGAAAAAGTTAAGAAAAAGGTATGTCATGAATGAATAAAATACATGTATATATTCATGTTTTATAATTTGCTACCGTAAAATGCAAATCTTTTATGAAAATTTATCAAAACTTGTGCATACACGGACCATACATAGTGCCATTTGCAGTTGGGAGAAATGTAAACAAGTGTAAAGATGCAGTATTAAATCATAACTGCATTGTGTTAACTGTAGTACCTATTGCACTGCTCTTATAATTTTGTATTTACTTCCTGTTGCTATTGCAGTGATCTCAAGTGTTGTGAATATCTGCTTAAAACACCATGAGATGCTAATCATCTCCATATGAGCAGCTTTCTTTCCAATAAATTGAGTATCTCAGTAAATGGTCTCTTGCAACTATTGCATATTTTCCATCATGTTTCGTGCAATGCTGTAAATGCCTTGAATAACCCATATGAGTTGCTGCTAGTGATACTGGAAATGCTTCCAAGAAGTAAACTCATGACATTACAAGAAAAAGTTGAGTTGCTTGGTATATACAGTAGGTTGAGCTCTGCAGCTGTGGTTGCCTGCCATTTCAAAATAAATGAATCCAGAGTAAGGACCATTTAATAAAAGAAAAGAAAATTTGTGAAGCCATAGCTGCAGCTATGCCAGAAAGCATGAAAACCTTGGACTTTTTGCAAAAGTCTCTATCTTGTGTAGAAAATGTACCTTTTATGTGGGTGCAGGATTGCTGTAAGAAAGGCTTGTATATAGACTCTAATATGATTCAGGAAAAAGTAAAGTCACTACATTATGACCAAAACAAAGGGAAGATGCAAGATCTAAAGCTGGATAATTTAATGCCAGCGAAGGATGGTTTGATAGTTTTGGAGATTTGACTTGAAAATGTCAAGATAACAGGAGAAGCAGCTTCTGCTGACCAAGAGGAAACAGGTGTGTTTCCAGATGCTTTAAGAAAATCATTGAGAAGAAAGAATATCTGCCTGAACAGGTTTTTAATGCAGACGAAAGTGTCCTATTCTAGAAAAAAGATAATGCCACAAAGGACATTTAATTAGTAAGGAAGAGAAGTGAGCATCAAGATTTAAGGTGGAAAGGGATATGCTAACTCTGTGGAAATGGAATTGGATTTCTAAGTACTTTTCTAATCTATAAAGGGGGTACCCCTGAGCCTCTAAGGAAAAAGATTATACCAGCTGCCAGTCTTTTGGTTGTATAACAAAAAGGCCTGCTACACAATGAGAATACTTTTTCTGGATTGGTGCCATCCATGCTTTGTTCTAAAGTCAAGAAGCATCTTGCCAGTAAGGACTGCCATTTCTTCTTACATTCTCAATGCCTCTGGCCACTTAGAACCCCATGAGTTCAACACTGAAAGCATCTAAGTGGTCTACTTGCCCCCAAACATGGCATTCCTAATTAAGTCTCTGATCAGAGGACCATAAGGACCTTTAAGGGTCATTGCAACAGGATAATTTATGGAAAAGATCGTCAGTGCTGTGAAGGGGAACCCCGATAGAACATCACGAAAGCCTGTAAGGATTACACCATTTAAGATTCCATCATTGTTATAGAAAAAGCCATGAAAGCCATCAAACCTAAAATAATAAATTGTTGATGAAGCAAACTGTCCAGATGTTGTGTGTGACTACACAGATGACTTGATGGGGATGAGTGATTCCAAAATGGTGCCAGGTAAAAAAGACATAGTAGTGCCAGAAAACAAATTGACATTAGACAGTCTAGCAGAAGGATTCTGATTATTCAAGACTACTTTTGACTTATTTTACAATAGAAATTACAAAGTATTTCCATTAGGTTACACTAAGTGTGCCTGCCTCTCCTGTCTCCCATTCTACCTCTGCCACCCCTGAGACCACAGGACCAGCTCTCCCCTTCCTTCTCAGTCTACTCAATGTGAAGACAAGGATGGAGACATGATGGTCCACTTCTACTTAATGAATAGTAAATATATTTTCTCTTCCTTATGGCTCTCTTAATAACATTTTCTTTTCTCTAGCTTTATTGTAAGAATACAGTATATAACACATATACAAAACATGTTAATTTACTGTGTTACTGGCAAGGTCAACAGTAGACTATTAGTAGTTAGGTTTTCGTTATATGTGGATTTTTGACGGCACAGAGGGGTCAGTGCCTATAACCTCTGTGTTGTTCAAGGGTCAACTGTACTTTTTTTTTTTTTTTTTTTTTTT